TTTCCCCATTTGTAAAATGGGGGCATTAATTATGGCCTTATAGTACTATGGCAAGAATTAAGTGAGTTAACACAGATAAACATTTAGAATAGTGCCTACACATTAAAAGTGCTAAGAATGAGCTATTATTAGATCAAACCTTATGAAACTGCCAATATTCAAATATTTTGACCTACAAACACAAATGCATTCAATCTAACATTGTTGTCATTATTCTATCATGCCAGCCAAGGCTGAGGGCCAGAATGGTCGAGGGCCCCTGCTACCATGAAGAGCCTTGGTCCAGCTCTGCTAGAAGCTCTCATTTCAAGCAGCCCTTGGGTCCCCAACGACGCAGCCATCCTGCCCCTAAAGCACTGGGCACACATGTGCCTCTTAACGTGATCCTCCATCAGTTTTTGGTTCCCTCTCCCAGCCAGTGGCCCCAGACAACTGCTTGCCCAGGGAGAAGTAGGTATCCTTCCTTTCCCCACAGCTGGGACCCTGTCATTTGCCCCGCATACTCGATGCCCCCTCTCCAGCCCAGTTTGTTCATCCAGCTTGGCAGTTTCACCCCAGATAAACCTAGCATGGTCTACTCATTCAGTTAAAACTATCTGATTAGAAACTTGGGTTTTTTAAGTTCTGTCTTCACTGCTCCCTGGACTCAGGAGTACACTGCAGGTAGTAATAATATTAATGATAATAAGCTCACTGTTTTGAGGGCTATTTGCCAAGTATACCATTCTAATTGCTTCACATGTATAATTTGTGTAATCTCCTAACAGCCCTAGGAGGTAGGTACTATTATCCCCATTTTATAGATAGGAAAACTGAGGCACAGAGAGTGCCAAGTTACTTGCTTACAGCTGCATGCCTGAAAAGTGGCAGAGCTAGGATTTGACCCCAGGCAGTCCAGCTCCAAAGACCACGGTTTAACCACTGTACTACTCTGCACAGTCCTCAGTTTTAGTAAGAAGGTGGCTGCTTCCCCTCTGGAACCCCTTCACTGGCTCCCCTTACATCTGGCTCTTCTTCCCTTCTCTTTAAGGGTCACAAGTGGCTGTTCTGCTGAAACTGCCACGACTCCCGCTTTTATTTCTGCAACCAGTTCACTTGGTTTTTCTTTGAGTCACTTACTGCAGCTTTCAGTCCTGAAACTTCTCTCCCAGGCTACGCCTGTTTGGCTTTCTACCATACCCGTGTTCATTTACAGAGCTTCCTTCCCAGTAAGTTAATCATAAGCAGCCTTTTGGCAGCGAGGATGCACGTGCCTACCTTCTCCGCAAAGGTCGTGTCCAACAGCTCACTCCCTACACGATGCTCCTGCGCCCTGTTCCTCACACCCCTGCCACGGCCTCTGTCTCACATTTGTCCTTTTATTATTCACAGAATTTCAGAACTGTGGGGGGTGGGAGGAACTTTGCAGATTATCCAGTTTAATCGCCCCATTCTATTTTGTCTAAAAGAGGTCAGACTCCCTCGTGAGTAGGATAAACTGAAGTTGTTCTGTGGGTTATCACCAAAAGACCTCAAACCCATCAGATGATCAAACATGCTGCCCAGTACGGAACCCCTCCATGGTTGACACAGTTGTAAAGTTACAGAGTATTGTCCTCTGCTGTGCCGAGACCGTGAGTTGCTAAAAGCTGTTCCGGGAGTGACCTCCAGCTCCCCGAGCTAACGTGCGAAGCACTCTGATCACACGCGGCGAGGCTCTCTGGCCGGGCCTGTGATAACTGAATTAGACTTCTGCTCCCCATATCCTGCTCCCCTCAGCCACGTTATCAAAATCGATAGCTCGCCCGGCACACAGCCACTCCGGCCCCGGGGCCTCATCTGTCCTAGGATGTCACACATGCTGCTCGTTGCGCGGCCGTGTTCTCAATCAGCAGGCTGCAGCCGCGGCGCCACAACTAGCGCCTCCTCACGGAGGTCACCCCGTCCACTCTCCCTTTTCCTCCGCAGCCCTCGCTTGGGCAAGGCGGGCCCTGGTTACCCATCGTCTGCTGAACAGGCTTCTACTCTGTCACTTCCTACCACCAAGTTCAGAGTGGGACTGCTCAGGGCCACACAGAGATGCCACTGCTCTTGAGAACACCTGTGTTATCAGTCAGAACTTAGAAAAACATTCAACCTTCTCTGGCTTTTTTTTCCTGCTTTTAAAAGAAATATATACCCATCAAAAACAAACAAACAAACAAACAAACAAACCCCTCAGTTCAGAAATGTACAAAGTGTAAACACAGAAGCCCCCAACTCCCACCCCCAGATAGTGACCGCAAACAACCTTCAGGCTATTCTCTCTGAAGACCACAGAGCTGAGCAGTCTCTCTCCTCCATCCTTGTTCCCCCTCCCACCAGCTAACACAGGCCCTTCCTGAGCTTTCTCAGAGGGACTCAGCAGCACCCCCCAGGGTGTCCAGGACGCTGTACTCTCAGGCCTTGTCCCCTCTCAGCCTCCCCTGTTCTCTGGCCCCTTCATGTGGGAGTGTGCCAGGGATCGGGCCCTGGTCCTCTTCTCTGTCTACACTCACTTCCTCAGGGATCTCATCCGGAGTCCTGGCTTTAAGGAGCACCTAGCCAAAGGCTCCTGAATGTATAGGTCCAGTCCAGACCTCTCTTTTGAACTCCAGACTCATTAGATTTGTTTGCCTTGTCTCCATTTGGATGTCCAATGGCATTTCAAATTCAACATGCCCAAACCAACTCCTGATTTTCCTCCAAAAACCTGCTCCTCCTACAGCCTTCTCCGTAACCCGTACAGCCATCCGGACTCATCCCTTCCTGTCATGCTCTACATCCACTTTGTCAAGAAATCCTGTCGGCTTTACTTACAAAACAGATCCAAAATCTGGCCGCTCCTCACACCTCCACTGTCACCATCCAGGTGCAAGCCACCTCGGGTCTCCCCGGGAAGACTGCAACAGCATCCTGGGCGGCCTCTCTGCTTCCACCCTGGCCCACACCTGCCGTCTACACGTCTACACAGAAGCCAGAGCGATCCTGTTACAACGTAAGTCAGATCACGTCCCTCCTCTGCTCAAGCCTCTCTTGTAGATCTCCTCCCACCCAGTAAAACCAGACTCCTTACAATGGCTACAAAGTCCTCTGTGATCTGGGTCCCTGTGACTTCTCCGACCTCCCCTCTTCCTCCCCCTGGATCAGTTTGCTCCAGGCCGCGCTGATCACCGTCACGATCCCCTCATCAGCCCGGCCATGTCACTGCTAAGCCCTTGGCACGGGCTGCTCCCTCTGCCCAGACGCTCCTCCCCCAGATGTCCGCGTGGCCCGTGCCCTCACCCTCCTCCAGCCTTTGCTCAAGTGTCACCTTCTCAGGGAGCCTATCCTGACTGCTTTACTGGAAACCGCAAACTGCCCGTTCTCTACCACCTAATAAGCCCTTTACCCTGCTCTACTTTCAAAAAATATATTTCTGATCACCTTTAACACTCTTTTAAATTTACTATTTACTGTGCTTTTGTTTATTATATGTCTCCCCCAACTCATATGTAAGCTCTATGGAGCACAGAGACCTCTGTCTGCTTCACTTCCTGATATACCCTATGCCTTCGACCAGTGCCTCACTCGGCCGGCATTCAACACATGCTTGTCAGCGAACGAGCAAGAGCTCTCTCGGGCCTGCCAGGCACTCTGCGGCCTTGCTGGCACAAAGACCCTTTTATACCAAAGAACTCTGGGCCCCAGAGACTTCCTGCCAACTGGAAGGGGCAACCTCTTCCGAGCACCCTTCCTATTCCCATTCCCTGCTGTGGCACCTTCTGTCTGCAGAGCTCCTCTAAGGGGCTGACTCCCATTCTGATTTCATTCCGAGCCCAGGCTGAGCTCTTGGCCACTCACCTGGAAATCTTCCTCATCCAAGATCTCTTTCCTCCACTTGATCAAGAAGGCTGCACACACATACAGATGAAAGTGGGAGAACCCTTCTGGTTCAGACTGGGAAGCAAAGAACAGAGTTAGGTCTCCAGCCCCTGACAAGGATCCAGCTCTGGTCCTCTCAGTTCCAATCCCTCTGGAGGCTGGGAGAGCAGTACCATACCCCGCCGCGGCCGGGCGCACAGAAGCACGGGAAGATTTAGCAAAGCCCCTGCCCCTGAGGCTAAGGCAGACACAGCAGTGGAGAGGAGGTGGGGGAACTTCCGAGCGGCCACACTCCACACCAGGGCAGGAGCTGGGCCCTCGGGCAGCGTGGTGTGGAGAGGTCAGCGGATCCCTTCTTACCTGGTACGTGTCCCACAGGCGGATGGTGCAGCGAAGAGGAAGCTCCCGCATAAGCAGGTTGTTCATCCAACGAAAGGCAAACTGCAGGTACTCGACCTCGTACCTCCTGAAGTGATTATGCACCTGCTCTGAAACAGGAAGCGTCATTGGCCCCAGGGGCAGAAGCTAGGGGGTTGGACTCTGAAAGGGTCACAGGAACCAAAAGGGCAGATTCCACTTCTTGCGACCCCCTCCAGACAGAGGGGGCAGACAGGCCCCTGCTTGCTTCCATCAGCCCAGCCCGGCACGCATAACTATTTCAACACCCACAGCAGTGTTCTGGGCCCCCCTTTCCTTCGCAGGGCTGCTCCGGCCGCAAAGCAGGAGGCGTACGGTTCGCTTGGCAGTTTGACCTTATCACTCATTGGAGAAGGAGCCGGGATGGAAGTGGACCTTGGAGGTCACCTTGGCCGTCCCCTTCCAGTGGGGAGTCCTTCTTCAGCATCCCCGACAGACGGCAGCCAGCAGGGACTTAACCGCTGCCTGCCGTGAGACGGGCTCCCCGAGCTGCTCCAGGGCGGCCTTTGCCACTGACGTGTGAAGCGACGCACCAGAAAGCGCTTCGTCACATCCAACAGAGACCAGCCACGGCCTACATCGCCCTCTGGCGTCCGTGTGGCCTTCTGGGCCAGGCCCAAACACACCTGACTCCTGCTCTACCTGACAGCCCTTCAGATAATGCTTAAAAGGATTGTTTTTTTTAAATCATTGTCCTCCTTAGCTTCCTAATCCATAAAATGAGGATAATCATTCACACCTCAGAGGGTTTTCAGGAAGATAAAATGAGAAAATACAAATGAAGTGCTTACAATGACACCTGGCATGTGGTAAATATTTTAATACAGTGCTTGAAAGAAGAACTATGAACAATGGTTATTTCTGGGGAGTAGAATTTAAGGAATGGGGAGGATTTCTACTTTTAATTTCATGTTTTTCTGAATTGTTTAAATTTTTGTAATAAGAAGGTGTTCTTTCTATAAGGCAAAGAAACAATATATACATATATTTAAGAGTCTACCATCCTGAAGTACTAAAGATTTATTTATCTGGTATTTGTAAGGGCAGAAAAAACAACGATAGGACAGACGGTGGCAGAAACCACAGCCTCTGCCCTCTGGAACCTGACTGGTGACCAGCCCCGGCACCGGCTTGGCCCAGGCAAGGGGAGCAGCACCCGCGCGGGCTCTAGGTGAGGGACGCCGGCAGCCTGCACCGTGGGGGTGACAGCTGGGCCAGGGTGACAAGACACAGAGAAAAAATATCCCACACGTGACCTGTGTGAAACAGCCGTGAATGGACAAATGAGACTGGAAGATTGAAACCCCAAGTCATAAAGGAAGCCGAGTGGGTGGACAGATCAAGGAAGGTTTTCGTGAAGAGCACCTGGGAAAGAAGAGAGAAAGATAGACAGCTTCTGTGTGGGGGATGGGGTGCGGGCATAAAGGCTCTGCTTGGGTGGAGGAGGAAAACCAGGACGTGACACTGGTCAGTGGTGTGGTAGCGGGTAGGGTCCTGAGGAAGCTGCCGCCACGCACGGGTGCTGGAGATCCATCCCCCCGTGAGACAGCCTCACCGTCAGTTCCGCGTGCTCCACGTGACACTTAATGCCGACTTCTCTCCCTTCTCTCAGTTTTTCCCTCCGTCTGCAGTAGAGCTTCCCTAGTTGCCTTTTATTTTTTTATTTTTATTTGTTTCCTTTTTTTCCCAAAAGGTGGTGAAGAATCAAGTTGCCTTTCAGTTCTAACATTCCATGATTCCAGGCCAAAGGCAAAGAATTCCCGTAAGGCTCCGGTTCCTCCACGACATCTGCTTCAGGAAGAGCCGCATCTCAATCTCCCCAGCACAAACAAGTCACAGGGAGAGACAGAAAGTCCTGCCGCGGCGTCAGGCAGACCGGAGGACCCAGGACCCAGCCCGGGAGCTCTGAGTGCCATCGTCACATGAAGGACAAGGCCGACTACCGACCCGAGGCTAAGCAACGGAGAGCTGCAGCAGGTGTGAGAGCAGAGGAGGGACCTGACCAGAGCAGTGCTTTAGGAAGACGCAGCTGCATGACAGATAGTCTGGAAGAGGAAAGAATATGGAGGAGGCAAGTCCTTCTAGGAGGAAGCTGCAGAAATCTAGGCATGGCTGCACCCAAGCTGCGGCTAGAGAAATGGACAAGGAGTGAACTGAGGAGATGCTGACAGAAGTGACAGAACTTGGAAGCAGAAACCAAGGGGAAAGAAGAACCTGAGATGGCAGCGGCGCCCCCGCCCCGCTTCCCGCTGAGACGTGACGGGAAGCGTGCTGGAGCTGCCGGCAGCACTGAGCGCGCTGGAGAGGGCCACGGCTGGGAAGGAGCTGAGGAGAGGACCCGCGAGCGTAACCGGCTCAGCTGAGAATCATACCGTGCCACTGCGAGGAACTCCGCTCCCTCTGAACCTACCATCGATCCGGCTCACAAGCTCTTCCAGCGCCTTGACCTTCTTCTGGATCCCTGGTTGTGCAAAGGTGTAGTTATCCTGCAAATGACACAGAGCCCAGGATGAAGAGGACTCCAAACGGTTGTGCCATCGCCCCTCACGTTCGCTGAGATGTGTTTAAAGGCACAGGCTCTCTTCCAAACCCAATGCCAAAGGCCAGTGACAGTGTTCTGGGAAACAAAGGACTCTACAGGACAACAGAGTGGGGGAAAGCCTAGGGGAGTCCTGCGCTGTGGAAGCCAAGCCCACATGGCTCGGGGTGCACAGCAGAAAGGAGGGGCCTGCTCTGATGACAAAGCCAGGGCGATGTGGAGATTTTGTCAGACTCCAAGACACACCAGACCATCGCTGTCCGGAAGCTATAAAGCTAATGAAGAGACCAAAAGGAGGCAGAGCCACAGTGGTGGGTGGCCCTGCCTGGCACAGAAGGGCAATGAGGAAACGGAAGCCTGCAGGGAGCCTGGACCACGGTGCCATGAGGGCGGAAGCAGCTCACCTGGATCCCGTCCAGCAGCTTACTCATGCACCAAAAGCTGTCGGCCTCGATGCTTCGCAGCATGTCCTGAGACAAGTTGGTCACGTCGAAGTTCTCCACATCCTCTTCTGTAAAACAAAAGGTGAAGAGATTCCAGGGTCTTGTCTACAAATGGAGAGAGAAAAGATAGAGTCTAGTGTCTTTAACAGGGTCCTTAAGGCCAGGTGAGAATCGGGCTAACCTGATGTCAAGGAACAGGGACCTGCCTCTCTACTCCCCCAGTCAGGTGGACAAATGTCACAGGCAGGTTCTTGAGGATCTCATTACAACTCCAACAGGACATTTCTCACACCAATCCCATTGGATCCAACATATCTTTCTCTTCCTCTGCATTTGTTCCTTTGGTTTTAGAAAATGATACTTCAGCCTCATGTTCAATGAGCTATACCCAGCTTCCTGGAGATGGTCTGGAAACCTTCCATTTCATTTCAGTGAGCTGTCTGGCATGCTCACACTTCTACATAGTAAGAGCAGCTGGGATCAAGGAGCCCCCAGAGTTCATTTCAAAGATGGACCCTCAAATTCCGACAAGGCAGATAACGGTCTCGCCTCTCAGAAGTGAAGGCATGTGTGTGAAAGAAGATTAACTACGCCTGTGGGTGCTTCTAGAACATAATTCCACCAAGCTGGTATTTCCTGAGATGGGCTCTGCAAAACATCAATCCTATGGGATACTCAAGAAAAAAGGGGTTCCACGGACAAATATGGCTGAGAAACGTTGTGTTATGTATGCCCATCGTGGAGATTCACACGGATTATAGCATACAAAAGGATTTGGGAAGTTATAAGAAATTCTGCATTAAGTAAATCCGCTTAACTTTGTTTATCCAGCATTTCCCAAGCTTACCCAAGCTTATTTAGCTATGGAATCTTTTTTAAAGAGGACTATCTACTGGCTTCTCAGGGAAACCCCACACTGAGTAACAGCAGCCAGAAGCCATCTGGTCTGAGATGCCAGTGAGGAGTGTTAGCGGCCCTCAAGAAACCTCAAGGAAAAGGCCCTTGTTTAGCTCTCCCCTCCTGCCACAAAGACGTCAAGTAGAAAGAAGGACTCTCCTTGCCCAACAGGACCAGCCACCGCATGCCTGTCAGAGGCCACACATTGAAACAAACAGTCAGGCCCTGGAGTTCTGCGCCAAAGATAGCTTTTCTCCTTAGACCCACAAGCCCTGTTTCAAAAACAGGCTGTTCCCTGCAGTTTGTGCAACAGAGAGACAAAATGTATTCAGAGCCCAGCCTTTTCATTTTTAAGAATTATTACTAAGATTTATATCTGAACCTCCTTATGACAACAAGTAACAACTCTCAGATTCTCATCCTGTTTAAAGAGCCATTTTTTATGGACATCAAAGGCTGTTAAAAAAAAAAAAAAAAGCCTTTTTGAGAGGGGGTGGGTCGCTTTGTCAGAAGAGCCATGACCCTGAAAATGACCTAAAACTTCAACGTGAAGGACAGCCGCAGTTGATGTATACATCTAAAGTGCTAATCACAGTGCCTGGCACACAGTGGGTACAATATAGTTATTTCAGATGAAGTTTATTAGGAATTTGTAATGACATAAAATAGCATGTCACAGTGTTAAGGGGAAAAGAGCAAGGTATAGAATTATTTATGATATACTTTCAACTACTGTACATACAATATTTATATGTGTTTATATAAGCACAGGGGAAAGACAAAATTTCACAGGGTTTATAGTGTTTATTCACCAGGTGGTAGGAATAAAGGATTTTATTTTCTTTAAGCTTTATTGGACTTTTAAAAATTTCTATAATAAGCATAATTTTTATAGTCAGGAAAAAATGTACACTATTTTAGGAAAAAACAGCCACAATCGACTATACTTGCTTTTCATCACCAAAAAAGAATGAAGATTTTGTAAAATAACACTAAGCTTAGAGAAACTAAAAATTCAGATAACATATAAAGGTCCATTTGAAAAATCACATTTTTTAAAAAACCCTTCCAGGAAATATCATTTTCTTTTTTTCCCTACCTTAAACATTATACATACACACATATGATCCAGGTAAATGATACTGGGCTATCCACCTCCCATTTCTAAGGTCTGTGTTGCTGTGTGGTGTGCTCCCACCACGCTTTATCGACCCTTTCCCCCAGGGATGGGGAACCGGGTCGCCTCCAACTGTCAAGCCCACAAACGGTGCCCCGAGGCATCGTCCCGTCTGAGAAGCACTCTGGGTCACAGGCTCGGGCAGACTACTCTCCAGGACCAGCCTCACAACAGTGCTCCAGGAAGGGGTGGCTTTTCCTTGTCAGTGGGCACGGCTGCTCGCACGGACCCATCCTAAGCCACAGCTCCCTCTTTGTGAAAATAGGGTTGCAAGAAAAAAGTATGCAGACTACTTGGGCCCCAGGGGGGAAGAAAGTAAAACCCACAAGGAAGGCTCAAGACAAAAACCACCACGCCGTGTCTCATACACATTTCCCAAAAGAAGACCAGAGCTCCATAATAATTTGACGGGTCTTTTCCAACCTAGGCATTCTAGATTCCAGAACATTGCCATGGAAATGCAAGCAGGATTGGACACTACACACCACAGAGCAACAAGGGAGAAAAGCCTGAGTCCCTGAGGACAATAGGAACACAGCTGTCCCATCAGCCCTGGCCACCTATGGCTTATTTGTCAGACGGAATAATATGCGGTTAAGAGCAGACTCTGGAGCCAGACTGTGGAGCTCAAAACCTGGCTGTCACCCAACAGCTACGTGATCTCATCTTTAGTGCCTCAGTTCCTCATCTGTTAGAGTGGCAACATCAGCGCCAGTGTCACAGGATATGGTAAGGATTAAATAATTAATATATGAAAAGTGCTAGCGACAGCGTGTGGCATAAAATAAGCATTATGTAAATGTCAGCTGGCATTATTTTTATTGTTATTATTACTATAAAAGGAACAAATACACTTCTATCTTATTTAAGCCACTGGTATTTTGGATCTCTGTTATTTGCAGCCAACCCCAATCCTAACCAATAATACTTACACCCAGAGCATACACTGAAAATAAGTCAATTTCCAGTTTTCCACTTCTGCCTTTTGGTCTTAAGGGGAAAACGTGACTGGCGACATGAGTGCCTGGGTTGGTAAGATGCCACGCTCAGCCACTGTACCAATTCCAGACCTTTCGCTGTCCAGGAAGCAGAGACGAGGTGCTGAACTCTATCTGGGGGCCTGGAGTCGGGGGCTATCTGCCCATTATCCCTCTGTTTTCGCAGACAGTGAGATAGCTCACCAGCATCTCAGAGAGCGGGAGGGAGAGTTTAGTTCTATTTTGCTGCCTGCTGGGAGGATAAAATTCAAACATTCAGTCAAAGCTGAGAGCCGCGTGTACCAGCAGAAAGCCATGAAGAAAGGAAAGAGCAAATGCTCTCTGAAGGGCTGCATTCAGCATAAACAATCTGTTCCGAAGGGTCATTAAGCGTCCACTTGAGGAAATTCAACATATAATTGAAGCTGAAACAGGAAACCATGCCAGCAGCGTCGTCTCGAGTGAGGACAACGTCTTTGGTTGTCATGACAGAGCACACAGCAGCCAGGACTCAGACAGGAGGGAACAAGGTTTTAAGGGATATTTTATGGCTATTTTTAAGAGGCAAAGCATCTGAAAGAGGAAACCCAGAAGCTCTTTATAAAAATCAAATTGCCCACTCTGGGCTTGACAAAGAACATGCCCGTTTATTAGCTGATAAAATACACTTGAGTGGCGGCTCCTGTCAACTGTTTATTTTTCGGAGAACTCTGAGTCCTGGGCCTAAAATCAGCTTGATATATGCCTCAAAAACTCCCCAACAGCCTTGGGAAGAATTGTTTTTGCCTAAACTGATGAGAATAACTTGTCTATTCACTGCTCTAAGGCATTTCCCAGGAACCATCTGTGATCCCAGGGCAATTTCTAGATTTTGTGATTTGGTAGGTCAGAATGATTCAGCCTCCGCTGCAGATGGCCTCCCTATTTTCTAAAAGCTTCTGGTTTACCTGATTCATGCCTTTGTTTTTATTTTATTTTTAAAGTTGGACTCATAAGAATACCTTGCATAATATTTTCTGATCACAAAAGTAAACTGAGAAGAAGAAAAAATCTTTTTGATCATAAAGAACTCCATAAAACAGAAACTTAAACGTTTCATCCATAAAGTTTTAAGAAAAGTGTTAAGGAATCTATCTAATCACGCCTATGTGATAATTTTTCAGTGGTTCTAGTGCTATATAAAGGTATTGTTGGGTGTAATTCATCTGGTATTTTCAGGCAAGTACTTGATGGCAGCAGCCAAGGTGACAACGCCACCGCAGACGTAGAGAGGGCACAGAGGCCACTCGGTTAAACCAGGGGAAGCCAAACCACCCGACAAGAAAGGAAAGTTGGTCTCTGAGGAGGAGATGTTCGCTCCGGAGAGATGGTTGGAGGAAAGACTTATTCTGAGGTTCCCACGGAGGAGAGAGCACTGGGCGGCGGTTCTTTTGATGAGGCCCGTGTTTCCGACCGTCGGAGATGTTCTGCTGAGAAGATGCAGGTAGGAGCTGACCATACAGCCCTTCCTGACACCGTGCCTGTCAATCAGGGTGGTGACTACTGACTTGGAATGACACATGAACTCTGGCCGCTCACTGTCGGGTAGCCTGGGTGTACGTGTCAAGATACCCAGGTTAAAATTAATTTTAAAAACCAATACGCCACCAACTTTTCTCTATTTCCCTTAGGTTTCTGTATTACTTTTGTTTAGCAAACAGTAGTTGCCACTGCTTCAGTCTTTGCTCTGGCTATAGGACCCCAGATTACATGAGCCCAAACCACGTGTATTTGGGTGACGGGGCAAAGGAAGAGCAAGGTCCAGCACACACTGACCTTCTAGGACTTGCCCCAAACCTCCCGCAGTGATGGGCAGCGTGTCACCAAGAAGCTGGATGTGAACAGGCTCTGGGAGGGTCCTGGGCCCCCAGTGTCAATGTCGGCTGCTCACAGAGGCTCCACATCTAGGCTCAAACATCTTGAATATGTTGGCTATCTCAACTTCTCCTCTGCTACGATTTCTCACTCCTGGAGTCAG